AAGATTTAATTTGTCGAGTCCAGTATAAATTAACATGTATCTATGTATTATCATATGCAGGAAGAATGAATACTCCTTTTTAAAGTTTCAAAGAATAACCTGCTATTGAAGTGACGGAAAACCGTTTTTGTCACTGTAATTCATAACGGTAATCTGATTTAAAACACAACCTACTCATTGTCATTTCACTTCTCGAAACTATGATTAACGGGGCTTTACATGGTTGAAGTCTGGCAATAATGGTTACAGAAAGAAAACAACTCCTGTCTTCGCGCGCTTCTGAGAATTGATTTGTTTGGTAGACAATTACTGGAGGCTGGAGGCTGAAAATTATTCTTTAGCACTATGCAAGTATATATCCATTATATGGGTTTTACAAGTAGAGAAAAAAAAGATTCAGGTGAAACTCCGTTGAGAAGTTAGGTATAACGCAATAAAGCTACTGTATGTGTCTGGCAGATTACTTTTAAACTGTTGATTTTTATAAGTTACCTCCCAATACACAAACAGGTAAAATTACAATGGAGTGATATAGTATACAGGTACTGTAAGAGGATAAGATCAGTGGCTCCTCCACATAAATTCCACTTTTTTTTGATGACCTTAACTATATACTGTAGATATGTAGGTCTGCTAGGAATTCAGTGAATTTAATTCTGGTGGGATTATGAATCCATTCATATTTTTACAGTATTGCTTCTTGGGCAATTAGTAAAAAATTGTTGTTTCTGTGTACAATACAAGTGTGCTATCATTTTCTATAATTTATGCCAACATTTGTGAGTACAGTATGTGTACATTTTAAAAACGATTGATGAAAAGAACAACATAAGAATATGAGTTGTTTTAAAAGTTGTTTTAAAAAGCACAGTCGAAACAGTGAAATGGTCATCGCTTTGGGGGATTGATAAAAGTGTGCAGGTGAAGTGTAGGCTTTTTAGCTTCTGGTTATGGCTACTCCAATGCAATTGCTTTGAAGCCATTTTTAGCACCAACTTGTGCTGGTATTCAACATAAGAACATCCATCCATCCATTTTCGAAACTGCTTTATCCAGTACAGGGTCACAAGGTCTAACCTGGCAAGCATGGGGTGCAAGGCAGGATACACCCTGTATGGGACACCAGTCCAGGGCACACACAGACACAAACATCCGCACAACATAAGAACATAAGAAAGGTTACAAAGAAGTGGTGGCCACTTGGCCCATCTAGCTCATGTGCTTCCTAGCAAATTAATTTGAGGATCTCAGGGGAATCAGCTTTAGTAAAATGGTTGGGCAGGTTGACTCATACTCCCACATTCCCTTGTGTAAAAAAACTGCCTCCTCCTATTCTTAATTTTCAACACTCTAAGCAGGAGTTCCACTTGTGTCCATCTGTTCAAGTTTCACTGCTGGTTTCAAAGAAAACAGAAACATCTCAATAACCCGATGATATCTCACAGGCACACTATAGTGTTTCAAAATAATATGCACAGACAAGACTTCAACAGGGGTGAAAAAACAATTCTTTCCGCGATAAAAGAATCAATAGCAATGGATGAAGGACAGAGAAACAAAAGAAAAGGAGAAAATCAAGCAAGAAAAATGAAAAGAGAAGGGGTTTTCAATGGATATGCTATATTTAAGTTCAAATCTGAGATTTAAATTAAAGTGCGATAGTTGTTTTTCAAAATAGCATATTTAAGGTATGGTGGTTTAAATAATCATGTATTTTCAGCACTATAAAAAGCAGTTGATGAATGGCAACTGTGAAACATATTGAAATCATGGATGTCCATTATTAATATACTGTAGATCATGCACAACAACAAAAAACAAAACTTGGATATTACTTCTTTGTACTGTATATTCCTTGTTTCAATGAAAAAATGGATGAAACCTTACAGTATACAGATAAAAGATAAAGATAAACCTTTTATCATTGTGTAATGATGTACTTGTATGTATCACAGGAATCTGTTTTGTTTAAGAAAAAATAATAAACATTACCGATGAAATAATAATTATACAGAGTCACTAAGAATCCACAGCATAACTGGAGTGTGAACAACCATTTTGGAGTAATTTGTTATTAAGACCAGAAAGGAGCATTCGGAGTGTAGAGGCTTTCCCTATTTTAATTATTTTCCTTAGTCAGTTATTCATTTAATATATGTTGTTTTTTTCGCATGTTTTATTTCAGTGAACCACACTGTTTGTCTCTTTTTTGCTTATTTAAAAAGGGCCAAGCTATTATTCTTTGTAACTTCATACAGATGGGATTTCGATTTAGTTACGGTCTGAAGACCATCAAGACTCACGAAACAACCTTCCCTGAATGGGTAGGCTGTAACCATGTTAAAGAAATGTTTAGTACAGCAAGGAACTGCTACTAAGGAAAACTGAGTTATTTGTATCTAGGTCCAGCATAAACAAATTTATATAAACAATCCTTATCTGGGATTTGAATATGACAGCATCATCTTAAAGGTTGTATTGGAATCAGTCCAGAATAGAGCTACTCGATATTTTCCCATGCTTAATGGAAGTACTGGACCTTTATAGCATTAAACAGAGAAGACTACAAAGAGAACTAGGAGATCTTATCCAAGTATTCACAATCCTCAAAGACACTGACAAAGTTACAATGAAACATTAGTGAAAAGACACACATGGAAACTACATGGAAGTGCATTTAAAAATAATAAGAAGAGTAAATTAATCAAACAAATGATTCTGGGATTATGGAAAAACCACATAGCTCTAATGCCAATATCCTGGCTTCTTTTGAGAAAAGGCTAGTTGAATTCCTAGCATTAGCTACTAAGTACCAAATAGGCTAGACAAGCTGAAAGGCCTCCTCTCATTTGTAACTCTTATACTCTTATGTACTTTCACGGTGTTTTAACAAAATGGAACTTTAACAACTCAAGATAAAAGAAACAGTAGCAGAAAAATGTATTAAGTGATTATACTTCTGTTTATATGACATATTGCAGTTCTTGATGCTTTTAGTCATTATAAGTGGATATATTCAATTAATAAAGTTTGAAATGAAATGAAGTTTGAGCAATCACTTCCTCTTGTTACACAAAATTATTTTTGCTTGATTCTTCAAATAAATCTCATATACAGCTTTATTTTTGCCCTTATACAGACACAGTTATTCTGTATTTTATTGGTGAATATGTTCACGCAAAACAGAACAGACATAATCTAAGTAAAAAAAAATTGATGGCATTGCATTTGTCAGTAACATCAACAAAATGAAAGCCCATCAAGAATCATTCCAGTATCTCTTGAGTTGATTACCTGAATATGCTAAGACAATGAACACGTTCTACTGACAATGTATTTTATCTGTCTTTTAAAAGAAAGAATGAGTTGTCCAGTTGTGCGTGTCATCTTCCCTGTAACCCAGAGAAGAGAGGGAAATGCTGTGAAATCTAAGATATGTTTCATTGCAGACTTCTCTAAAAGCATTTACAAGGAAAATAGAAGAAGTTTCAGAATTTCCTGGTATGAGGTGTTGGGAAACATCTTTATGTGACTGCTTTTTTGTAGTAAGACTGGTGTTAGAGCTTAACTTTAGTGCTTAGACTGCATTAATCACCAGGTGTCAGGAATCCTCAATGAAAAGGTATACAGATCCTATGCAGACACTGGAGTAGGTAGATGACAAGGCAGGCGAACAATCCAATAAGTAAGGCGACTTCATGGTCCAAAAGAAAAAGGGGATTCAGAATCCATGAAGTACGATTGAAGCAAACAATCCGAAGCAAGAGGCAAGGTCATGGTCAAAAGGAGTAAGGTAGGTCGAAATCCGGGAAGTACACTGGTAGCAAACAATCTGAGACGAGAGCCGAGGTCCAAAGTTGAAAGACTAAAGGGAAGTCCAGAATCCAAAATAATACGAGGTACAGAAAATGCCAGCTAGAGCTCTCAATTAGTAGACTCAATACAGAGCAGCGGGAAGCGGGTTAGGATGGTTTAAATAAGTGTTATTATTAACCCGCTGCTGGTACTGGTTAGTTCTTTTGTGAGATTATCTCTGCTGGCTGGTGGTTGTGACAGTACCCCCCCCCCACACACACACACACGCTCACGGGCGGCTCCCGACGCCTGAGACGGCCGATCGGGATAGTCCCTGTGAAAATCACTGATGGGCATAGGGTCCAAAATATCCTTCTCCGGAACCCAAGATCTCTCTTCGGGGCCATACCCCTCCCACTCGGCTGGATACTGAAGGGTACCATGGTGCCATCTGGAGACGAGGATCTTGTGGACTGTATACACCGGGCACCCCTGAATGAGACGCAGGGGTGGTGGGCAACATTTGGGTAGGGTTTCGGGAGGGAGACATGGAAAGATGGCTTGTTATTATTAACCCCCTGCTTGTACTGGTTAGCTCTTTTGTGAGATGATCTCCGCTGGCTGGTGGCCGTGACAGTAACAACGCTGTATGATGGCCAATCTTTTTCAGTGAGGCAAGTTAACCCCAAAGTAGTATGTACACTATCCCTTTGTTTTCTCCTGTTTCCTCATTATTAGAATTTGAACCACTGACTAAATACATGTGGGTGTTCTAATACTATTGGCCCTGCAATGACTGGTGTCCCATCCAGGATGTACCGAGCGTTAAGCCCGTTGCTTGCTGGGACAGGCTCCAGTTCCCCTGGGACCCTGTGGGAGTGGAATAAGTGGTCAGACAGAAACTGAATGGATCAATTATATACTTTTGCATTTTTCATTATTTAACACAAAGTTCTTGTGGCATTCTTCTCGTGTATATTATTTATGTTCGTTGCAATAAGGTTTTGTACAGTTGGTTAAGTGCTGTAGTTTTTGGCTGAATGCTTTAATGACCATTATAAAAGTAATTGCTAAACATGGCACATACTCCATAAACATGTGACTCAGTAAGAGCTGTATTAATGTGTTCTGCACAGTGGCTGATCGTGTATATTTTACTTTGTTTTGCTAAGATCTGAAGTTCTTTTAGAGTTGTTGCCTTATCAATGTCTCAAGAATGTACAACTTGCAGCTTTACAGGAAATTGCATAGAAACTTGACTAACCTAATGACAATAATAGTAAAGTTTTTCTGCACTCATGATAAGACGTTTTTAAAACACACATAATTTGAATTTTTAAAACACTATCTTCGTTATTACATATATCTGATAAGTATGGATTTCCTTCCTTGTTCCTTTGGGTCACATTTGAATGATGATTTGTGAAAACATAAGATTAATGTTACAAAATGGTGCTGTTTCAGAGTGTTTGTAGAATTGTACAAAATGTACAGTGGATAGCCACTAAACCATTTTATGTTGTAAGTTTTTATACTGTAGAAACATGGCCACACATTTCAAATGCTGAAACCTCATCACTCTTTCCATTATTGAAGGTACAGGGCATTGTAAGTAAAATTAGACTTCTTAATTGTCTTAGAAATATTGTAGAATACACCTCTGTCTATTCAGCATTTATGTATTCTTTCCTCACCTCTCTAGTTCCTTACTTACTAGAGACACATTTATAGCCTTTTATTCCAGTGCAAAATTGTGCTTAAGTGTAATTCATTGATAAGAATTCTACAGGCTTTAATTTAAAATACCAAAAAACTTTGATAATCTCCTCTGAATGCATTATTTCAACATGTCTTTACAGAGCAAAACATGTGTTACTCACTTGTTTTAATAGTCATGGAACTGGTAGCATGGAGTCATGCCAGCCTTGACAATAGTGAGAGTGGTAAGTATAATTGTTTGTTGTATTGTTAACTGTACCTGAATCTTAAACCATTAATGTAATTTAAGAAGAGCAATCCTAATACGGATTATTCTGGAACACCAGTAAATAATTACATCATCCCAGTTTTAGCATTCACCCCTATCTGTATTCTCTGTTTTCTATCCATTAACTAGTTCTCAATCCAAATCCAAATATTACCTTGAGTGCCAGACATGTACAATATACTGTATGTGTGCAAAAAGTGTGACTCAACCAAGCAGTTATTGAAGAATAAGTAAAACATCAGGTTATGCAAACGATATCTAGAAGTAAATTAGGGGATCATTTGCATTCATGGTGGATTTAGAACGTTTATGTCTCGCTAACTAGTTAAGAACAAGAACAATAGTGGATATAAACAGACCACATTAAATGGTATATTTGGAGTTTCTGAGGACTTTTAATTACATTCCTCATAAAAAGATAAATTCACAAATTGCAGCCCTCTTTAATTTACACTTTTTTTTCTAAATTCAGATATGGTTAGCAAACCGAAAGGGTGTGGGAGCCTACAATTTTCCTCATCCATGTTGTTAGCATTTCTTCTGTCAACAAATGGTTGCATGAAATCCTCAGGTCACTTAGATACTAAAAAATCAAATGAGTTAGATTGGCAGAAAGACCTCCTCTCATTTGCAAATGCACTTATGGTCTTAATACTACTTACCTGTATGACCTGCAGAAAAGTTAGATAGCAACCAGTTCTCTTGCCTATTGTCTTAAAACTAAGAATGTATCTGTATTCTAGGAAGTGTTCTTTGACTTGAAACTGTTTTTTGAATGTCAGTCTATTTCATGCAATGCCTTATGTAACATGTAGAGTTACATTTTGTTACACATTTGTTTTTATTTACAGTCAAATGTCTCCCACCCACAAACTTCACCATTTATGAAAAACATGGAAAGACCTTTTTCTCGTGGAGTGAATTTAAAGAAAAAGATATGGATTGTAATGTAACATACAAGTTACAATATCGGTATCTTAACACAGAGAACTTCAAAGTAAGTATCATGCATTAGGTAATCAAATGAGCATTCTTGTAAAGATGTTTATACAAATATTTAATTTCTTACACTTTATTCATCTTACTGTACATAAGAGGTTTGCATTTGTTTCTTCTGTTTTTCTTATGTAGATGTTATACAAAAGCTCACAAAACTAGTGAAAATATCTCTTTCTCTCGGACTTAGTGTGATAACTGTGAAATCTCACACATTACAAACACCACTCCCAGGCCCAAGTATGCTAAATACTTGGCCCTTAAACACAGGTCTGTCAACTGAATGTTATAATATATACAGTACAAAGGAAAGCATACATTTTGCTAAAATACACCGCCCTCCAAAAAGTGCTGGGACAATATTTTAAATTATAGCTGTACGCTCAGGAAATGTGGGTTTCAAATCACAAGATGAATGTGAGACAAAAACAGAGAATAACCCCTTTTACCTAAAGTATGGGTATTTTTATGCATAAATAACAATGGCTGTTGCTGTTATACAGGTACAGCAGCACTGTTTTTGTTCAAACCCCCACATTTTAGATGAGCATGAGTATTGGGACAAACAGGTTTACAGATTTTTCTAATTGCCCAGGTGTTACACATTGCAAACATTTCACACACATAAAAGTGTTGGGAAGATCTAGGCATGGTGATCTGAGGTCTTTCGAAACTGCTTCTGAAGTCTTTCACTTGAATTAGTCAACATGAAGACCAGAGAACTCACTAGAACAGAAACGAAGGCAATGAAAACGAGAGGAAAGAAAATGACCATTAGTGAAACTGATAAGACTCTTGGCATTGCAAAGTAAAAAATCTGAAATGGTCTTAAGAAAAAGGAAACAACAGGAGGAGTCAGGAACAGGCTGAAAACAGGGCATCCAAAAGTGTAACAATGAATTAGCAGAAAACCAAGAGAAAAAATACAAGAGCTTGATTTGAATTTGCAAATAAATATGGCGATGAGCCACAGGAGTTCTGGTACAAGCATTTTTGTACAGATGAGCCCAAATAAAACACCTATCAATGTGATGGAAAGACTGTACTGTGGAGAAAAACAGGAATAGACGTTTATCATCTGTATAAAAACCTAAATGTTGGAATTTCCATGAGATAGACTTGCCTGAGGTGGAATAACAATCCAAAACATCCCACCAACAACAAACCAGTAAAACTGTTTTGTGGCACTGTGTATTGCCAAGGCAAAGACAAATATTTATCTAAATTTCAGAGAGCAGTATGTCCCCTTGTTTAAAGCTTTCTTAGAACAATTTATACAATCAGGAGATTAAGTGGCAGCTAAAGTGTACTTGAATTTTAGGACAAAGGTATATATGTTATAGATGACAAAGTTGACTGAACTGCATTGAATCTATGGACTTCACATACTCAGACCTTTGGACCTGGAACCTCTTGAGATAACTTGGAGCATCAAAGCCAGCAGACTCAAAATGTTTTCTTGATTAATTAATTAGAAGAGGTCCATAACAGTGCCCGGAGATGCATAACAAGTAAACCTGAGTTATCCCTTTTGTTATATCACTTTACTTTTTGGGATGTGGATCCCAAAAATGATATCCTACTGGAATTTCTGTATCACCTTGGCCTACTGGCCATATATTTGCTGCTTCTGTTCTTCACTGTTAAGCAAAATGATCACGTTCTGCCAATCTGGTGAAGGTCAACGGCAATAGCATTGCAAAACCAAAAAAGCCAGCAAATGACACTGGGAGTTACTGCTCTGATCTATACAGGATACAAGCTCTTTGAGCAACTAATTCTTTTAAAAATCAGCACTATTAGAAACTCATTCCTTCCCCAACACAGCTGCTGTGGCCACGTTCCCCCTCTGATTACAAACACTTAAGGTTGATTCTACCTAAGCATTAAAACTGGAGCCTGATTCCTAGATCTTTTTTTTCAGCCAATGATACTGCATGAAAACATGGGCTGATAATTAGACTGTCCCTGCAGTTGTCCTGTGCTAGACATCTGAGGCTGCTGCTGTGGATGAATCTGAGGATCACAAAACTGATGGTTTATCTACATGATAAAGTCAGTAATATCAGATTCGACACTCAACAACAAATTCCCTCAGGGAGGCATCCTGGCACAGATACTTTTCAACATCTACAGAAGAGACATGTCCACCACATGGACATGCAAAATTTGCTGCGGAGACCATGACTTATATCACCCACTAATTTGCTGGCACAAACTGACAAACAAAATTATAGTGAATACTACACAAAATCATCGATGCACAGCTGCACTCAGTGATGAGGATAGTCTCTGGAACACTGAGATAAACTCCAGTTCAGTGATGATAGGTTGTTTCAAATATCATTTGACCTCTATTCACCATGTTACAGCAAAACACAGAGAAATTTCTTATATCAGAAACAATTCCCACTGACGGAGACCTTCAAGAGCTCCCTAGTCACTGTATGGTTTCATAAGAATTATTATTGTTATAAGTTATTGTTTATGAATATCTGTTTGTCTTGTGCCAGAGAATAAAAATTACACACATTTTAACACTTGTTAAATAAAACATTTATAACATTTCCTTTGCACTATTTGGTTATCATATCTTATGGTTAGTTGAAGTGAACATTGCAGCATTTTGTTCAGTGTAAAAAAGCAAAGCTCATATTCCCACTGTGAAATATGGTGCCAGAGTAAATTATGTTGTTTTGCATCTCTGAGTCCTGGAGCCTTTGATAAGATATGTACGATCCTAAACTCCAACACATACCAGGGCATTTTGACTAGGCACTTGGTTCCCTCTACCAGGAAGCTCAGGTTTTGACCAAAAATGGACATTTCAGTTTGACCTTGATCCAAATGCATCCAAATTAACAAATATAAAAGTTCTTAAATGTCCACACAAAATAAATGTTCTTAACGGCCCGTCTCAATCTCCATCCTCATGTTCAATTGGATCACTTAATCCAAACTCAAAACTCAAAAAGGACATTCACAACCTGAAACCAAAGAGTCTGAAGGCTCTAGAGAAATTCTGCTTGGAGAAATAGTCAAAACTCCCTTTTCATAAGTGCTAAAACCTCATAACACATTACAAGAGACTCCTTATACAGTAAGTGTAATCTATACTACAGGAGGAGTTACAAAATACCCACTTTAGAGTTATTAATTAAATGTGACCCTCATTTTTATTTTCAATTAGAATAGGACATTGTTCTTTGTTATGCTATTAAGATTCTGATTAATTAAACCATGCTACAAGAAAGCTTTATTGGTTTTCACTAGATTATGATTATAATTTAAAAAGTATTTTTCAACAATTGTAAACATTTTTGGATCTTGGTAAGCAGAGTATACATATCCTGGAAAATGCAGACAAAATCTGTTTTTAAAGTGAGAGCTTTTTTTATTAGTGCATATCTTTCCACCTGTACGGTAAATGAAGACAATGACACAATTAAATAGTTTTGTAGATCAGACACCTATCTGTTTTATCAACGTCAATCTTTGGCGCTGCTTGTGGAGTACCTGGTGCCCCAAGACTTTAGTTCTACAATATTCCTATAATGGATGTGATTTTTCCAAAGCATTTCATATTGGTTATTTTATATATTATTTTAAGTGAGGAATTTGAATAGACATTTTCAATGAAATGTAATTATGCACTTTTTATTAGCATAAATTACACCCAATGCTGTATTTGCGAACAGCTTAATTGTTTTAAATGTACTGTACCTTAAAAATTAAAAGGAACTTTGATGTTATTCTTGTTAGGAAATAGAAACAGAAAAAACACATCACAGAACATTCTTGGAGTTTCACAAAGGAATTCAGGCAAGAGTTAAAACTGTGTACAATCTGCAACAGGTGAATTCACTGCAAGTGACTGGACTGTTGCGAACTTTACTCTATCAAAAGGTAGGACATCTTTGCATTCTTTTATTGTGTTGATAACTTTCTATATTTGATAAGTATTGTAACACTTACGGCCGACAGGCACTGTGTAAGAGCCGGCGTACCAGAGCTGACCAGTGTACCAGTGATGTCACTGCCCTTCCCTGTGATAGCAGGACTACAGCTACTGGGCTGTAGAGAGATCTCTCTTTGGCTCACGGGGCTGGGTCGCTGCAGAGTGACGTGGGAGTCCTGGGTTTGAGCCCCCGACGGTGGGGGCAGACCTAATGTGGCAAAGGCGCCTGCCTGAGCCCCCGTTGTGTTACAGTATCTATATTCATTACATCTAATTTAATTTGTTAATGAAACACAAAACAATAAAAAGTACCTGATCTTGTAAAACACGTTTTGGTATAAATTAGTGTGTGAACAAAGGTCTTCCATCAGTTATTTAAAATGTTCTTTCATTTACATGCTTGTAGAAGCAATGCATCCTGAGCAAATTCAAAATATCCTGTGAAACAATTTGGAACTCTTTACATGTTCCACCACACTCTGTATTGCCTTGTTCATGTGAATTATGGAAACCAGGAATGAGGTGCAACAACTCATACACTATCTATGGTATTTCTTCACATACAGTGAATCTGTACTCTTTTTTACTATAGTTGTCATTTTTTCTTTTTTCTTTTTTTAAAATTTTGCTTTACACATGGGGGCAACGTAGCACAGAGGATTCATGCAAGGTGGGTCCCTGATACAAACACTGCTGTTGTACCTTGAGTGAGGTACTTTACCCCAGTTTCTCCAGTCTACCCAGTCGTACAGTATAAGTCTGGACCAGCAGCACTGGGGGATAATCTCTGAATATCTGCTGCCCCTACTTAGTCATAGGCTCCCTGATTGCTACACACTTCGAACCCGGGATAAGCCCTTGACTGTGACTCAAATGGATTTGCCTGTGTACTACTCACATCATTTTCCTTACTTTCAATATCTATTTACCCCTAATGTTCTGGTGGTTTCATCTCGTCTGGTGTGTCTGGCTCTGTACTGTACTTTTCCTTATACTCCACATCAAAATGAAATACCAGCTACATCCATTTCAAGGAAAGTAAACCCCATTCCACTTCACTGTTATCTGAAATGTATTTTTTTTGCAAACCACCTGAAAGCACAAGAACTTCTTTATTGTACTGAGGTTTGGCTTATTTAACATATCTTCTATGTTGCTTTCAAAGGGAACTTTAAGGTTCTGGTCAAGAATATTTCCTGCAGTGTTTACAACTTTGATCACTTTAAGTGTACTTGGAAGGAAGAAGATGAAATGCTGACACATGCTCAGTACTCAGTGACATTACTGTAAGTGAACTTTTGCTGTTTCCTAACAAGGTGTAAGCTATCGATTGCCGTATGAATCAGTATTATTTTTTCCACAGCTACAAGTCAGATGAAAAATTTGAAAACAGAACATGTGACACCTTTACCAACAAAGAAGAGAAAGTCGTCGGATGCCACAGCAGAATAAGTTCTGCAAACCCCAGAATTTATTTGCGCATCAATGCATCAGGCACTGATTTTTACAAAATTTATATTTTCAGATTTTTCCCCAGAGATATTGGTAAGGAAACTTGTACACATGTTAAAACTCCTTCTAGGGCAGTGAAACTTAATCCTGGATCTTCAGGATCCCTGTATCTGCAGGGTTGTGTTCCAACTGCACTAATTTGAAATTGATATGAACCCTGTGCTAATTAGTGAGTTTAAGAACAGTCCTCAATCAGATGTGTGAGATTAAATCTAACCATTTGGACTTGGTAGAAAACACAAGTTAACCAAATGTGGAAGGAGCAGTGTTTCATTTAGGCCAAGACGTAGACTTAATAGACTGTCCTGCCTTTATGATCAGCATGCTGATGATTATTACAGATATATGGTTCAGAATAAGCATCTATTCTGTAATTTCTTTTTGGTTCAGAGTTCTCTTTCTTTCTACTTGTCTGTTACTTGTCTGTTTATGTTTTTCAGAAAAGATGGATCCACCTCAAAATATCAAAGCATCTATAGAATCAGGAAGCTTGAAAATTAAATGGAATCAGCCACATGTACTGTCCATCACAAATAATAACTCGGCGTGCTTTCAGTATGAATTAAAGTTAAACGACAGCAAAAATGTTCAGGTAACATAAATATTGTGGGAAGTAAGAAATCAAGAAGTTGGGAATAATTCTTATTCAGTCTGATGATGGATAGGATGGTAAAATGTGCTTTGGTAATGGGTTCTGAAGTTCAGATTACTGTAATATGACAGGCAAAGAAAGCCATAATTCTCCACTCAATGGAGATAAACTCCAACAATGGAGGCTATTTACATTATAAAGAGACATAGAAACCATGCTGGATTCTGGATCCCTAGGTTTGAAATGGAAAAATCCTGCCTTACAATGTTCTTTAAAGTGGCATAATAACTATTAATCAAAGCAAACTTTCTGTTTTAGATACAAACAATACATGAACGAACCAGTTATAATCTGTCAATAATTGATGCCATGAGGACGTATTTATTGAAATTAAGAGGAAAAAAATCAGATATTTGTTACACAAACAATATTTGGAGTGACTGGAGTACAATTGTAGGTGAGTGTTTATTTGAATCGTTGCTACCTTTTCATTTATTATTTGACACTCGGGGATTTATATTTAGAGGACTCAGAATATTGTACATATTCACATTTACAGTATTTGTCATTTTTATTTTTACAGGGTAACAGTGTTTGTTTATGCTTGGACCAATGTTTATGCTATTCTGAGGACATTTATCAAGCATCTTAATTTCATTTCCATAAATCCAAATCAGGAACCTAACATTTTGAAATAACTATTTTTGTGTTAGAAGTGGTGCAGTTTTATGTATTCTCCTGAGTGTCTCCTGAGTGACTTTTCCTGAGTGTATTTATGTAAAATACCCAAATGAGTGTGTATGTAAAATACCCATCATTGTTATCAGTAGTTTTTACATCATTGGTAAAATTACAGCTATGATTTCTAAATTGAGTCAAATGTGTTCACCTGGTCAGGAGGTGTTCACTTCTTTCTCCCATTTAGACTTTTTCATGAAGCCCAGCTTTTTCCCATTGTGTGCAATTAACGCAGAGCTCATACATAAAAGACTTGGAGAAGGAGTTTTACACTGCAAAAGTCTAATTTCTGGTGATTGTTTGGGTCACCAAAGAAGCCAGAAAGTATATTCATGGATACGTCTTATTTATCTAGATCATAGCCAAATCACTACTTTCAATACATATCACTGATATTTTTTTCTCTAACTAAAGCGTGTTCCACCAATGATAATAACTAATGTGGCACTGTGATACTTATTTTAAAAACAAAATAGCTCCCGAAAGCTGATTGTCTATACATTTTTCATTAGTACTGTAGAACTAAGTCGCTCAGTGTCACGGATGTTGGAAGGGATGAACCGTGGAGAGGCAGGAGGGCGGAAAAAGACCCTATACGTAGCGGCGGAACGGGGGATTAGCCCAGGCTCAGCAGTTCAGGGGTCATATAGAAACCAGTGCCCTCAGGCAACGGACATGGGGCGACCTGGATTCTAGGCCAGTCTCAGGACATCCAAACGTCAATGCTGAGCGAAGGTGATTCAGTGACCTGGAAATATATAGTCCCAGAGAGAGAGACACCAGAAGGACAGCAAAGCACCGGAAACTAGGGACAGGACAGAGTGGGCACACAGAAAGACAGAGAACAACATGTGCCATCCACTCATTGTCTTGCATAAAATATTGACTCAGAGGACTGAGTACATCAGTTCAACATTGTCCCACAATCACTTTCCAAAACAGAAATAAATTGACCCATTTTGCAGTTCTGCTTGAAAGTTTAACACCTATCTTACTGTAAAATAGATAGAACACATTTCTTTGTAAGTAACCAGGGATAAAACAATTTAAATACAGTTACTAATGAGAGGAGGTCATTTGGACCATTTAAGTGTAGGTAGTTGGTAGCTAATCAATCTGATGATCTCCTCCAGTTATTTCTTAAAAGAAGCCAGGGTATCAGCTTCAATATCATGACTGGGCAGCTTGATCCAGACACCAACAGCCCTTTGTCTCAAGAAATACTTCCTGTTCTTGGCTTTAACTATACTTCCACATTTCCTGATTCACTGTTTATTCTTAAGAAGCCCATTGTATTGACTTTATCAATGCATTATGTTAATTTATGCAAAAAATGAAACTTAAGGTATTTATCATTTATCTGGAGTACATGGACTTTATTTGATATATCTGAATCTATAACTTTAATTGCATGAGCTCACCAAACCAAACTTCCCTGCAACTGGTTGTTATTGCAATACAGTATTGATCCTGAAGGTGGGAAAGATTTTCTTTTGTTGATATTGAACTTCTGTAACTCTGGGCTCGAATCAGCAAAGCCGGCCAATTGCTTGGTTGCCTGCGATCTCGTGTGATGAAGCATAGGAAGAGCAAGCTGTTAACTCAAATCAAGGTGTTCGAAGCGGCAGTCCTCTTTTGTACGGCTGTGAAACCTGGATGCTATATCTGAAACACTTCAAGCAGCTTGAACGCCTCCGCATGAGATCACTGCGGTTGATCATGAGCATTAAGTGGCAGGACAGTGTGACGAACCTAGAAGTTCTGGACAGGGCTGGCCTAGTCAGCACTGAGGCCATGATTGTCAAAGCACAGCTAAGATTGACAGGCCATGTCATCCGGATGAATAGCTCACGCATGCCGCGCCAGATCCATTATGGAGTGCTTGCGCAGGGCCGCAGAAACCTAGGGCGTCCCAAAAAAACACTTCAAGGGTTGTATCAAGGAGAACTTGAAGCAGTGTGGAATCTCTGCCAAGGAACTAGAGCCTCGTGCTCAAGATAGGACTTTGTGAAAGGCTGGCGCACATTAACAAACAGGGCATACTCTAACTTTGAAGCCAGCAGATGAGGAACGTGTCGCCAGCGCCGGAGAAAACGCAGGAAGGTCTCGGCATCGGCTCTTGCAGCAGCTGCAGGAGCTGTCATTCTGGTGCCCCACACTGCCCCCCCGAGTGTGTCAGTCGAATGGGGTTAACCAGCCACATCCGGGCCCATCAAAGACACAACGATTGACATCATCAAACACGATGGTCAACCAACACATGTGGTCTTCAAAACTTACATTGCATTTGTTTTGCAACAAATTCAGTATTTAATCTGCAACCTAACATATTTTCCCTCTTTTCAGTTTTGAAACCTGAGGGGAGAAATAAATTAAACTCCTTAGTGATTGCCCTAATAGTTTTGGGCATCCCATCTGTTTTGCTTGCTGTTCTCTTGATATTTAGATGTCAAAGGTAAGTTGAAAGAATTAAAGTAAATTTACTCTCCAGCATTTTGTATAATTTAATGTATTATAGTAAGACCAATTTCATGTGAAAATATTCTGTATATATATGTGGGAACAGTGACAGTGTACTTTCTCAAAGTGTAACCTACTTTCTGTTAATCTGTTAACTTTGGTAGACTTTACCACAGACAACATCAGGCCTCTTTTTTCTAGTTATCTTCTGGTTAAATATGAGTGGTGGATTGTTTTTGAACTCTTATTCTTCCTGTTTATTCTCGGCTTCATTTTTAATCTGTTATTCATGGCTTTCCACTGTGAAACAGTAATAGACTGATGAGTACAAAAGATAAAAAAAGACCATCTGTCCAACTGCCTATGCTTTAACTGTATTATTCTATTAATGTATCTTGAAGTTTTCAGTTTTTATATGATGAGATTATTTGATTTTTAATTAAAGGTTTTAGGGTTTAAAAAAGTTTATATTTAGTTTTATTTATGTTACATGTGACTTGGTCTTCAGTGTTAACTGACATTTGTGTCTGTTTCAGGGTGTTAGAAAAACTATTCCCTCCAATTCCAAGTCCTATAATAAAAAATAAAAATGTGCTGGAAAAAGATACATTTTTCAAGGTAATTTCTGTCTTTAATTATTTGTTATTATCTTGCTGTCTGAAACCTCTTCTTCTTATAAACATTATAACTTAATAAACGAAATGAGTATACTACCAATTACATGGCATGTTTCAAATGCTAATTTTATTCAAACATAAGAATATTTAAAATAAATTTGGTCCAATAAATCTGAGTCCCTTACTAAAAGGGACTAAAAATAAAACATTTAGTATAATAATTCCTAAATACTTAAGATACATACAGCAAAACCATCTTGACTGTTTTAAATGAACCAAATCTAAAAAAACCTTTACAGTAAGAAATATCAGCTGAAGACCGTGACCAGACATTATGCAATAATTAAAGAACATTTCAAATACATTATGTTATAACTGATTGATTATGGGATTTTGAGATAACATTCATGTCATTCATATTGAAGTTGCTAATAATTTTCTGCACTGTACAGGAACTATAATTCTATACTACAAGTTATCAATTTAGTTGTGTTCAGGGTGTAGAAGGGACATTTTACAACTCTGAATATAATTTTCAATATTTTGATGCTGCTTGCCTTGTAGACTGATGCACCAAAATACATCGAGGAAATAACTATAGTTGTCGAAGACAGCAGTGAAGATGATAGGCTGTGAGAGCCTATACTCAGCACCCTGATCCCAGACTTTGAAGGAGACATTTATGCTGCATCTCCCCTTCATTTTAATTTTGCTTTCATTTCCTTCATTCCCCAGTAATACTAAGCGTATGCAAATTAATTTCCTCACCAGCCAACTGACTGTTGGCAGAGCTGTTTTCCAGAAAAAAAATGGACTCAAGGAAGAATCACAGCATTGCAGTTTTGTATACATAATAGCAAAGAACAGCTTAAATGAACACTTAACACTACTGACAGCAACAGTGTTCTGTTGCCAACAGTATCAAAACACATCACACTGCCACCCATGCAATGAACATTGACAATGACCTGAGCTTGACTCAAAACCCACTCATGTGAGAAGCACTAAGCCTACCTTGCTTGAAAAGATCTCAAATTTGACCTGGGTCTAAAATGCTCAGCCCAATGTCCAAATTTGTCCCTCCTTCACTCACCAGCCAGCTGAATGGGTTTTAGAGTCATCTGATGTGGCATCAGCTGCTACTGTACTGACAAATATCTACAACTTCCTGCTCATCAGACATGGCATTTACCACTGAGATCATGAATATCAAGAAGAGCCAAGACCAAATAATTACATTTTGAAGATATTTTGTGCACTATTCATATTAGGGATGTACAATTGAGAGAAAATGTTGTATTCAGAATTATGCAAATAAAACTACATAACTTAAAGTAACTTTCATTACTTTTTGTAAAATGTTTAAATATACCTAATGTTTCATAGTACTATTACTGTACATATTTCATGTTTCAAAATATATGGTAATTATTTTTGTGCACTCTAAATATGAATATGAAACTAATTTACCATTGATTGAAAGTTTATTTAGGTTTATTTTGTATTTTAGTTTTTTTAATTTTTGAACATATTTGAACTGTTTTGTTTTAACTGCCAAAGCTTGTTTCGCACATTAAGTCAGCATAATTTTTTTCTGAAGGGTGTAATCTTCAACATAAACTGTAAAATGAATACATAAATACTTATTAAGGGGCTGTGCTTATAAAACTATACTGCACACCACTTGTTATTTTCATCACAATAGGTGCTACTTCCACAGCAACCCTACTATATCATTAAAGAGTGTTCATCTATTTTGTACTACAGTATTGTGTAGTACAGAGTGAAGTAGTGATTAAATAGATTATGCAGCTAAAATGTTGCAATTTCAAATCACCCTTCACTGATTTTGCTCTAGTGAAATGACCAACTGTATAAATGCATGTTGCTTCGGATAAAGGTGACACCACATAATTTTATAACAAAAGGAGATGGGTTAACCCTTATGATAAATGGTTTTAGCATGGTTTAATTACAAATTTTCTGTGGTTTTGGTAAAAGTACACAAATCTTAATGTAAATGTTCTATGGAAAAATGTCAGTAGGGCACATGTAATTCATTTATCAATTGTAATGAAAAAATAAGAGTAAAGAAAAAATAAAACATATGTTAAAAAATGATCCACTTTACTGGGTTTCTTCAGGATTCAACACATATTTGCTGAATTAGAATGATGGCATACACACAAATTGTATTTGCTATGACTTTGTGAAATTGAGTTGCCAATTTCATGAACATAGACCAGTATGTTCCAAACAGGAGTGACATTTCTGTCTCTTCATTAATTCAAGTTTACCTAGCTTGCGTGTTTGTGAGCTTTATGTGTTTATGAGTGATGAAGAAACTGACAGAGAGTGAGACTAAGTCCAGAAAATCAGTTCACACAGAGAACCAGCAAGGCAGATAGTGTGACAGAATGCACCGCTATGCAGGTGATGCTTTCAAGCAGCATATTGTAGTCCAGTAAGTAAAATTATTGCTGGTATCAGAGTGGGAATTATGAGTTCTGAACTGAAATGGCAGAGCAGTATAATCTGTTACTGCATGTCTGGATGAAAACCTCGTAGTCAATGCACTGTGGTGTTGTTTTGTTTTTTTTTTTGGTCTTTTACAATAGTTCAGTATGGAATAAAGCTGGTAAGTATTTCAAATATATATGAGTTACATTTCATGGTGAATCAGACCTAAAATATCTCCTATGAATATATTATTAACAGCATCATCATCATGAAAGTATATTTACTTAATTGTAAGAATACAAGAAAGATTACAAGAGAGAGGGGGCCATTGGACCCATCTTGCTTGTTTAGTGGTTAAGATAATTTATGCTTCATGTTTGAGCCCAGAGTTTTGATGTCAGTTCCCTGTCTGAGAAGTGTGGTCTAGACATCCACAGTTCACTGGACATTTGTCTAGACTCAGGTTTATAGTCCAGTGGAAGCTATTTATCCCATGCTGCTCAATTGAAAATTTAAAGTTTAAAACATTTAAAGTTTTGCTTGATTAAAACATGCAGAGGGAAACAGTTTTGGTTTTGAAGTAACAAGCCAAGCATGCAGCTTCATGATCAGCAAAGGGAAAGCTGGCTCAGAAATGTTAGTTTCATTTTGACATTTAGGGACTTTTTAAAATACTGTAAAACATAGAAGAGCTAAATTATAAAAGGAAAGCCACTTCAAGACTGTCAGAAAAGGTCTGCCAGGCTTAACTCAAGGTCGAAATCGTTTACCTGTAAAAATAATCAAGATGGTTTCAGTTGACTGCTTACTACTAATGAGTTCTAGTAATAAATCCACAATAGTATTGATCAATTTCAACTGATTGATCCCAATCTGGGATTCCTGAACTCACACTGAAAAGATAATCTGGTCTTTTAAGATTCAAAAAGAAACAATCCTTTGTGTACAGGAGGAATTTATTTGCTCAGAGGAATAATCCAGCCTCATAGCTGGTGCTGATACCACCTGGAAGCTGCTGGCCAAAATCTCCTGATCAATCACTACCAGCCAAAGAAGCAAGTTTGGTCCACTGACCTCTTTTTGTTTGTAACATCCAATCTTTGTCACGACAGCAGCCGATGAAGTGTTCCTGCTGATATGCTGTAAATGTTTTTGAATTCTTCTTTGTGAATTCATTCTTTTTAATTCTTTGCACTTTTACTGTACCTTGCTGTGAAATGACAATACAAAGTCACAACAAAAATGTTTATTTGTATCTCTTTCTCATGTAGTAGTGTGGACTTGAAAAAAAAAACCATCCAAATTATGTGAGAGTTGACTTCTTCCTTTAACTGATCAGCTTTTACTTTAATTGTTTGTTTCTTTATCACAAAGTTTGTTCTTCACAGCAACACACTAACACTTGTTGTAGATAGTTACTGTATAGTCAGTACTGAGAGAGAACATGAAGTGAATCACACTGACCAAGATGCTGCGGTCTGTTTAGAAATACCATTATCAAAAAAACTAGCAGCTCTGTTTTTGTTGTTTGAAACATTTTTATTCAGTCCTTTGCCACATAGAAGGTGTGGTTCTGAAAGTGCAAGATAGCATGACCTCTAGTTTTAATTTCTGTTCCCCACAAACCTTTTTTTTTTCTTCAGAATCTTAATATGATCAACACTGATATCAGCTCTGGCTTTATCTCAAGGCCCCTCTTGCATTAAAAACGAAACGAATCTAGAACAGAAACAAACACATTCCAGATTGTCCAAGGTAATATCACAAAAATGATATACAAAAAATAACAACAGGCAAGAATTAAATGTGTTGGGAAATGCTTATAGAGTGTTTATTCACAGTAAGGTTGGCTTGACCCATTTGACCAAGGGGGAAGTCCACTTCCCCATGAGGAGTGAGGAGTGACCAAGGGGCAGCTGCACAGGTGGAGACGGTGGCAGAATAATGCTAAATATGATTGCAATGGAGAAGAGTCTTACTTATGGTATACAGCATATGGATGTTTGACCGTTACACCTTCCAGCATGTAGGGACAGCAACATCCTGTCGCCATTTCTGTAACCTTAGTTTTTTACAGGACAGGGTTGTTAGTTTTGTGCCCAACCTCCAACATGGAGGACAGGGCGCCCAACGAGGGACATGAACCCACTACCCTGAGATTATGAGTCTCATGCTCTACCAACAGACCTAGTCGGGACCCAATACAGTATATATTGTAGTTTTTTTTTAATTCAGTAACTGTGCTCAGGAATGATCCTGATACCTCAGTGTGACGTAGATTAGTTGGAGGCGAATCAAATTATCCCACCCGAACGTTCGTGGTAAACTCCATTTAACATAGGGACATTATTCTGCCAGAAATGTATTTGCCCTTTTGGGTAAATAACAATATAGTTGTCATTATTATGCCATTTTGGCTTCGTAATAAATGAAAACTGGACCTATGTTGAATGTGCCTTCAGGTTTATAAAGCGCTGTGTTGAGGTTCACTAAGCTAAATGTTAAAAACAGTATGGTGTGAAACTAACCTTTGTGAGCTCTCATGAGGCAATCATGTGGCACATGTGCGTATTATCTCAGGACTATGCAGGGGCCCACATGATTAAATATCCATCCCCTTCCTGTTTTCAGAACTGCACATGTAGATATATTCATGATTAACAGCACGTATGCTGGGATTTTAAAGTTCCAAATATCAACATTTATGTCACGATTGTAGTCCCTCCTCCTTAAGGGCGCTCTTTCACTTTGGATGTAATTCTGTGCACCTGCCCCTTGTTCCAGCCTCCTTCCTGTCCCCCTTAAAAGCCAGACAGTCAGTCAGTTCCGGGCTCTGAATCTGATTTCCATATCGTGCGAGCCCGGGTCCTGATGTGTCTGGCTCCGTCATGGTTTTAAGTCTCGGTTCCTGTCCTCCCTGCCGGTTCCGACCCTGTTCCTGGTTTTAATCTCCTGGATGGATCCCCTGGCTATGGACTTATGCTTGTGTTTTTGGATTCCGCGTCTGGATTACTTTTGGATTGTTTGCCGCGGCCACACCTCCCCCGTGCAGCAGCGCACTTTGGACACGCCCCCCTGTTTTCATCCCCATCTTCCTGCATGACTTTTCCCCCTTGTTTCCTCACTACTTCGGATTGTGTCGTCTGCATAGGGTCTGGAAAGAGCTGTCCGTTACAATTTATGCTTGATGAAAAGTTAACTTAGGCCTGCTGATCTGTTTATTGAAAAGTTTTTAAATAATTGCAATATATACATGTTAATCGAATGAAAAAAAAATCCCTAATGAAATTCCCTTTTCCCGTAATAATTAGTAGTTCTAATCAGTTGTATGGCGGGTGACGCAATTGATGTTCCCACCATGAGTATTGAAACAATTTTTTTCAGTAATATTCAACTCTGTTAGTTAATTAAGTGCAACAAAAAAGCTTTCAATGCAATAGAAGGCATTTATTTTTCATTTTGGATTTTCTCTGCAAAACGCTGGTATGTTTTAATGTCACCTACATTGGTCTACTGGAAAGTGTTATGTTTTAGGAAATTTGTTCTTTTATTAGAAAACTAAGAATATGATTCTGATCTCAACACTATTGAGCAATATTGAGGACTAGCTTCCAGGCTGGGGTGTATTCCAGTAAAACCTACCACTCTGTTACAAGGGAACTTGCAAATATTTTACTTCTAGGAACCAGTCACATACTGTAATTCATATCAAAGAACAAAAGTGCTAAATTAGTAAGCTGTCTCTTTCAGTTGTTTGAAAGAGATAATCATCACTAATAATCATCACTCAGAGTACAACAGAGGAACAGAGAATTTCTCATTTAATGATCCAGAATTAATACTGCTGACAATTGTCTTTACAAGCACAGTCTCTGCTTGAGCTCATTCACATAGTGCCTCATACTGTGCCTAACACTTTCAAATACATACAGTTTAAATAAATACATAATTCCATGTGTGTCAGTCTTTATAAAACCGATCCAGTACACCACTAATTCTAAACTCATCAGATTACCTATCACCTTATGTTTATACGCATTTCAATGTCTGATAATATTATACATTAGAAGTTCAGAGCAAAAGGAAAACAGTGGTAGTTTTTAATATGTATTTTAGCATTCCTTTTGACTGTGGCCAGTCTTCACATATCTTGTTTCCTCTGTATGAAAAACAGACCACTGTGAGTAAATGATGAAATCTATCTTCTCTGAGGGAGTGCAATGTGTTACCAAGAAACTAAGCCAATCGAATTCTTGGAAAAAATGTTACCTTAAAAAGTAACAAAAATTAAGGCTTAATCTAATTTAAATCAGCACTTTTAATGAGGAGTCTTACTATGAAAAGGAAACAGGTGTAGAGAGGAACCCACGTTGGGCGGAGCGGTGGCTCTGTGGCTAAGGATCTGCGCCTGTGACTGGAAGGTTGCTGGTTCAAATCGTGCGGCCGGCAAAGGAATCCTACTCTATTGGGCTCCTGAGCAAGGCCCTTAACCCCAACTGCTCCAGGGGCGCTGTACAATGGCAGTCCCTGCGCTCTGACCCCAAGCTTCTCTCCCTGTCTGTGTCTCCATGGAGAAAAGCTGGGGTATGCGAAAAGATGCATTCCTAATGCAAGAAATTGTGTAGGGCTAATAAAGAAATATTATTACATTACGTTGACAA